GCGCTCTGGTGGGTGTTGCCCCCTTCCCCACAGCCCAGCCGCTGCTTCTTGGCCATTTCATGCACGTATCGGACCAAATTGCGCAGGAAGAGTTTGGAGTGGGATATGATCTTCTCCGTGTCACCCTCAGCTGTGGCGTTGTAAGCCCAAGGCCAGTGGAGGTGCATATTCCAGTTGCCAGGATCCAGTGTAAAGATGGGCATGTCCCCCAGGAGACCCACCCCAGACACCTCAGCACAGCTGATGTTGGTGAAGAAGCTGGTCATGAGCAGCTGGAAAACCTGCAGGTCTGCTAGGAAAGGGTGGGGATGAAAAGGGCTGCAGGAAAGAGATGAGGTGGGGGGATTCAGACTAGATATAAGGAAGACATTTTTCACGCTTAGGGTGGTGAAACACTGGACCAGGTTGCCCAGAGAGGTGGTGGATGGAAACATTCCAGGAAAGACTGGATGGGGCTCTGAGTAATCTGATCTAGTTGAAGGTGTTCCTGCTCATTGCAGAGGGTTGGAATAGATGACCTTCAAAGGTTCTTTCCAACCCATACTATGGGTTTGGGTCAGATTCTGATCTGAAGATCAGATTCTTTAATCTTCAGTCTGCTCAGAGTTGCAGTCTGAACTTCCTCTGCCTCCTCTGCTCTTTTTCCTTCCCTATTTTACTTTCCAGGAGGTGTTTCTCTCCCATACAGGATTTCAGTCCCCTCATACCCTCCCCTCCCCACCTCCTGCCTGTCCAGTGCCTGCTCTCCAGCTGTGTGGAGCAGATGGTGGGGACACCTCAGTGCTTGCACCCCAGAAGCAGCACCTAGACCAGGACCTATATCTGCCAGAGACATGCACATGGCTCAGAGGACATGGAGGATGGAAAAGGGCATTTCATCCAGGTTTGGGAGCTCCTGGGCATTGGGAGCTCAAGGAGACCATATAATTACAGGGGCAGGGGAGTAGCCCAGACCAGAGATCAAACCTGCATTCCCATGTCTGTTGCTGCTGCCCTTGGAAACATGAGGTCTCATGGGGTTGTGGTGAAATGCTCTGTGTGACGGCAGCCCCCAGAAAACCCTCTCACAGGTGCAGCTTCCCAATGAACACAGAGCTGTTGGAAGGGGTCCTCAGCACCACATGGGTCTGAGACCTTCCTGGCATCCACAGGTTCCCTGCAGGAGGCGTGCATGCCTTTGGGGGAACCTCAACAACCCAGGCCTGGCTGGGGAACCTTGGCTTCAATTCTGCTCAGGTGCCAGAGCCCCTGTGCTGGAGCCACTGTGCATGAAGGCCCAAGCTGGAGGTAGGAACAGAGAGGGTGGGCAGGGCCAAGGCACCTTTGGGTACTACACGGTTGGTAGTGGCCCTTTGATGCTGGGGATCATCCTCCCCTTCCCCCCCTTCCAGGAAACAGTGGCCTGGCTGTGCCTCTCGAGGAACCTGTGGGGTCCTCTGACAGGGGGGATGAGAACAGTTGGGTGAGCCAGGGCTCCCACTTACCTTCTGGGTTTGCCCACTTTCCAGGGAGTAGGAGGGGAATAAAGAAGAAGAGGAAGAGGTAAGGAGGCTGCATGGTGCATGCGGCAAGGTCGAAGCAGCAGCAGCAGTGACTGTGGGAGGAGGAAGAAGCCACAGGGTCCCATGCTTCAACCCAGCCCAGCTGTCACAGCTGTAGCTCCCTGCCAATGGGACAAATGCAGACATATTGGGGAGGGGCCCAGAGGTCCTGAGCTGGGGGTTGGGGATGTGTGTGAGAGCGGAAAGCAGAAATAAGGTCTTAAGCATGAAGTGCTTCAACAGCATGGGGCTGGGGAGAGTCCAGCCAGGGGGAGAGGACAGGGAAGGGGAGGGTCAGGAAATGACACTAGGAAAAAATGGGTGCTCAGGGTCATGAGCTGGGTCTCCCTGAATCACCCTCCCTACTGATGGTACCTCACCCCTATCCCAGTTCCTGTGGGGAGTTCCAAGGGAGGTGATGATGGCTTTTCAGTTTCAGCCTTGACTGGAGAAAGATGGCTGCCATCCTCTCAGCTCCTGCACGGGGAGAAGGGATGCTTTGGGTCCCACCCACCACCTCCAGCTTAAGCTCATCCTGCACTGCCTGCCTAACCCTGGGGATGGGGCTCCCCAAGGAGGAGGTGAAGAGCAGTTCCTGTCCAGCCCATGGCTGTGGGAACAGTGCTGGAGAGCTCCAAGTCTTCCATAAACATCTCCAGGCGAGGGCTTGGGGCTGGGCTACAGCTTGGCACTCCCCTTCGCTTCCCACCATCTTTGTTGGGGAACCCTGTCCCCCTCCTCAGGTGCCACCTGGATGTGGGAACAGGAATGATGGGGCCATCTCCCTGCCCTGTCCCCGTTGTCACTAGTGTCCAACACTGGAGGGACAATGGGGTGATCAGAGCTGCCCTCACCCCACAATGTCCCCTACCCACTGCTCATCCCCAGCTGTCCCCTGGTGCCTCCTCCCACTCTGTAGTTTCTCTTCCCCTTTCTTGGGGGTGCCTGCGTTGGGAGCAAAGGCAGAACTGAAACCACAGCTGAGGGGAAGTTTGAGGGGGCGTGCCCCCAATATCCTCAAGACGCCGAACCTCTTCCCTTCCATGGAACAGTCCCGTGGAGAAGTAGGGATGCTGCGGTGACCTGGAGGGCCCAAAAATGGCTCCAAACACCCCAGCAACTCACCTTGGCATCACCCAGGGGATGTCTGGACATGCCACCACAATGTCCATATCCCTCCTGGCAAGACCACCAGTGCTGTGGTCGGGGGAGAGTGTTTGGCTGGTGGAGTGGCAAAGTGCAGCCATGGGGTGGCTGGTGAGGGAAGGGGCAGGGTGGGTTTTAGTCACACAGTCCTATGAGGTGACCATTTGTCCTCACAGTCCCCTCTAAGGTGACTGTTGGTCACTTCTTGCTAAGCAGTTGATAGGCCATTAGCAGGCCTCCGGTTTGTGTAGGTGCCTGTGGTATCACTGGTGGCTGAGTAGCTGATAGGGTAGGTCCAGGCACCTGGATTGTGCAAGGGCATGGGATGTGTTCAGACCCCTCTGAATTTTCTCCCATGTCTCCAACTGTGGCAGTAGACCAGAAATTCTGCTTCAGATCTTCCTCACCTCTATTGAATTTACTTGTCCTCATATTTTTGTTATTTTTCTGCACTTTCTTACTTGCTGTAGCAGAGGTCACAACTCCTTGATATTGTCACTTCTTTTAGTCAACAAATGACCAAAGGGGTAGGCGGCTCTTTGTCCACACACACCGTGGGTCCTTACAGTCCCCTCAGGTGACCATTGATGCTCTGAGTGCCCTAAGCTGACTGCTGGTCTTTGGAATCACCTCCAGGTTAACATTGGTCCTCACAGTTCCCTCAGGTGACATTGTTTCTTACAATCCTCCCAGGGGTCCACTGGTCTTTGCTTCCCACCCCAACTGACTGTAGGACTTTGCAGTTCCACCTGATGTGACCATTGGTCCTCACAGACCCTGCAGGTACCATTGGTCCTTGCAGTCTCTTCAAGTGACTATTGGTTCTTGCAGTACACCCTCAGGTGAGGGCTGTAACCCCCCTGACCGCAGACCCCTGACCAACGTGTGGGGGAGTTGGGGTGGAGTGGGTGGGCAGAGCTGCAGCGCGGCTGGTTGCTGCACTGGATGTTTGGGCACCAGCACCAGCTGGGCTGGGCCAATATGCCTGAAGAGACCTCTCAAAACATCTGGGTATTCGTGTGTGTTATTGTAGGGTCTATTGTAGGGTAGTGTGAACTAACACTTGCAGACAGCTCCCTGGCACTGGGTGTTTGCATATGTGTTATTGTAGGGTCTCTTGAGAGGTCATGCACACAACCACCTTTTCTTACCAGGTTCGTTCACCATCTGCATCTGTTCTCCGGCTTTGGTGGGTGAGTTTCACCTGCCACTTCCTGTGAGTGCTGCAGGCTATTTCACTCTGTTCAGGAGATGAATTGCCCCGTGTGCCCTGTTGCTGCTGAGGCTGCTGGATCCTAGCCCTGAGGTGACCTCTACCTGCAGCTGAAAGTTTCACCTGTGTGTCCTAGCTCAGCAAGGGCTGGAAGATACTCAGCATCACACCTTCTGCAGTGAGACTTGAGCCTCACGGAGGCAGGTGACTCTGCCAGGGAAATTCAGTCCTGCCCATTGCACTGTTGTTCGCAGGGTTTGGCCAGGGAAGAACCATCCGCAGTGGAGTTGTGGCGGATGTGGCCACAGACCAGCTGGATTTTTGTCTGACTCAGCTGATAGTTGGCTTGCACATGGTTGCCAGAGATGCATCTTGTGGAACTTTGCCAGGAAGTTGTCCTCTGAAACCAGACCTTTTGAAGCCACACATTCAAGTGTGTGGTTGATTGGGAGCATGAAGTAAATTCCGTCCTATGACTGTCTGAACTCCGCTGTCTCCAATGGGAGATTTGCTTCCATTTTCTGCTTAACTGGGAGTCTTGGGGGCACTTTACCCCCATGCGCACAGTTGTTATTTCAATGAAATATGTAAGAACATGTTTGTATGTGCACAACCACACTTTTCTTTTTTTTTTTTTTTTTATTCCTTGCTTTGGTATTTCCTGAAATTAGCACCAATAAATCAGTGATCCTCCAGCTTCCATTTGCAGCTGGTCAAAACCTCCCCAAGCCCATGCAAATCTTGAGGAAATACGCATGTTCTTAGTGAAAACATGAATGTTTTAATTTCATTTTATACACATCTGCAGTTCCCACAGATTGCATCAGTCTCAGTGTTACTCAGCACTTTGTAAAACAGTTTGTGGCCAGGTGCTGTCAGTCTGTGTGGAACAGTTCAGTATCAGCACAAATATTTCTGGAATACAGTTAATAAAGGCAGCTTTCAGGAAAAAATATTAGAAAGCAACAGTAGAAGGGCACAGCTTACTGACTACCGATAAATATGTTATTGTACCAGAACTGGCAGAAACTGCGACTGGGCTTTGGAGTGCCCCAAAGAACCTCAGTCAGTGCATGGACCAGTGCTATAAGAGGTGATTGTGTGTAACAAGTGAGGAGGCCCGAGACTTGCATCCTTGTCTGCTTAGCAAATTGAAGTGGGTCAGAACCCCCCCAGTTTACCCCCATGCCTCTCTGAGTAGAGTTGATCTCACACTTGTCTGCGCCCTGAATTTTGTCAAAGCAGAAAAAGGTAGCGGTTTTGTTCCTGTGAGGGCGGTGGAAGGAAACAGGGGCTGTTGACTCTCTTCTGGGCTAGGCTTCTCCGCTCAGGATGGAGTTCCTGCACTCTGATTCCTCCATCTGCTGGTGCTTTCTGAAATAAGAGAGGGATGGATCATGGGTACTCCATGGAAGAGACTTTGTGGGGATGCAGATAGCAGCTAGCAGGACAGGAGCAAGAGCTTTGCAGCTAAGTGCAGCAATCCCCTGGGGCATTTCCTTCCCTCCTCTCCCACTGCTGCTCCCAGTGGCAGAAGTGTCCTCACCTGCGTCTCCACAACCAAAGTGCCATGATGGCAGTCACAATCATGGCTGCCAGCAACCCGGCCCCAAGTCCTGTGATCAGCACCACCTCTGAGTTCCCTGAGAAACATGAGCAGAGGCTGCCATGAGCTTTCCTGGCTTTGCTCCATCTCTCAGGGCATGGCAGCTCAGGAGCCCCATCCCTGTCCAACCCCATGAGTGGTACCTACCCCATGGGATGAGGAGGCTGTGGGTGCCCAGGCTGCGGTGGCGCACGCGGCAGGCGTAGCTGTGCCCATCACGGGGGACCACGGCCAGGACGCTGCGGAGCTGGTAGGTGAGGTCAGCGTTGGGCAGGATGGCGCTGGTGATGATCCGGCCCACCCCGCAGCCAGACCACACTGATGGGCCGTGGGTAAAAACCGGTGACATGGCAAACCAGCAGGATCTGGGCTGGGCTGGGCATGCGGGCAAAGACTGTGGCCATGGGTGGCTCTGGGAGGGGAGATCAAAAGGGTGGGGAGAGCCCTAGTGGGTCACCGATTGGCCCCAGTATGTGGGAGGCTTTGGGGTGGCCATGCGAGGGTGGGGCTGTTCTCACCTTGTCTCTCCAGAGCTGCCTTCCCATAGTGCAGTAACAGCTCCATGTCGTCAACACAGGTATCGTTGAAGAGGACTTCTACCAGCTCGCTGAAGGCAGTATAGTTCTGGAGAACAGCCTGGACATACCGTGACAGGTTTGTATCTTGGGAAAGCAGCCAGCTGGCACTATCCACATCGAAACTGAGGAAGTCCTGGCCATTGTAGCCTACATAGGCAAAGGCTCGGGAGGTCCTGTTGGGGTAGATCTCGCAGCCTGCCACACACTGGGCCACGAATGGGTCTGGAGGAGCAGAAGGGAGAGAGAGGTTGTGTGAGAGTCTGGGACTGTTTTCCTGCAGACATGGTCAGCATCTCCAGTGCAGTGCCAGCACTGATGGATCCCTCTCCACTTCCCAAATGCTGTTCAGAGAGAGATACAGAGAAGACTGGATACTCACAAGGAACATCCTTCTGCATGGCACCTTCATTGATCAGGTGGTTGAACTGCTGCAAATAGATCTTGATCATGTTCTGAATGGTGTCCCAGTCACTGCGGGGCAGGGCTGGGTGCACCCAGGGCTGGTAGAAGCGGATGGTCCAAGTATGCTTATCAATAGAACCAAGCTCAATGTCTTCCAGCAGGCCCAGCCCCTCTGTGTCCACAAAGGAGGTGTTTTGGAAGGTGGAGGTCTGAAGCAGCCGTATAGTGAAGGTCCCTACAAGAGACAGGTGTCAACAGGGGAAGATGGGAGTGGGAGGAGAGGGCTGGGGAAAGTGGAGGAGCTGAGAACTGAGTCCTCATTCAATGACCTGCGGGCTCCCCGTAAGCCCCCCACATCCTTTGTAGCTCCAGCTCACACCCCCTGCACCTACCTGCAGTGGCTGCATCCCTGCTGGCAAGGAGGTGTGGAGCCAGGGGACAAGGAAGGGGGAGGAGGCAAGTGCCCAAGGCAGGTGGGGAGAAGGAAGCCCCTTGCCTATGGGGTCCCACAGGGGCATAGGAGCAGGTGTGGATGAGCCAGGACTCCTACTTACCCTCCAGGTTTGCCCATGTCCCAGAGAGGAGGAGAAGGTAGGGGAGAAGGAGGAGGAAGCAGAGGCAAGATGGCTGCATGTTATCAGCAGCAAGGCCCCAAACATGCAGTAGTGGGTGCAGTGGCAGGAGGAAGGGCCTGTGAGAGATGTGGCTCCGCACTTCTCAGAGTGTCTCTGCCTGGCCATCTCCACTGGTGCTAGTGGCCCTGGCAGCCAATGGGGTTGGCACTGAGGTTTCAGGGAGGGCTCTGATGTTCCTGCTTGGGATGGGCTGGTCTGGGACATACTGAGTATGGCTGAGTGTTGGGGAAATTTGGGTGGGAACAAGGCCATTCTACTGGCTGCAGGAGGGATCCCTTATGGCTGTGGCAGCATCTTGACAATTAGAGTGGTGCAGGAGACCCAACCCCACTATTACAGGTGCCACCTGGCCATGGGCTGCATCCACTGTCCCTGAAAGGAATGTCCCTCGCTGCCACTCGTGCCCAGTATGTCCAGCCCTGCATAGCACATCTCCATCTGCTCTGTGCTGCCTACTTAACTGGTGGGTTTGCCCTAATGTGGCTGTCTTTCCTGCAGGGGAGACAAACCCTGTTCCCACAGCCTGACTGCATGCCTGGGCTCCCCATACCCCCAAGATGTGCACTGGCCCCATGCCTCTTTGTCACCTCCCTGCCAACCTGCAGCCAGGCCACACTGATGACCCTGGGTGGAAGCCAGTGATGTGGCAAACCAGCAGGACTAGAACTGGGCCAGACATGTGAGTGAAGACTGTGGCCATGGATGGCTCTGAGGGTGAGGGTGAGAAGACCTGGTGATATCCTCTGACTCCTTGGCACTGGCAGCCTGATCCTGGGGAACGGGGACCCCAGGGACGAGGTAATGAGCAGTGCCTACCTGGCTCACAGCTGCAGGGTCAGGGATGGGTGCAGACAGCTGGAGGAAGAGGAGCTCCTCTTGGAGTGCAGGAAGTAGGTGGGCTGGAGCAGCTGTGGTGTGATGGTCCCCAAGGGGAGAGGTGGGCTGTGGAGGCTGGAAGGGACTGTTTCCCACTGACAGTCACTGGACCCTTGGAGCAGTGGCATTTGGCCAGGCAGGATCTCCAAGCTGGGACAGGGATTTGACCGTGGTCCTTCCATCCCAAAGCCCATTCCAGGGGGCTTCAATAGGTGAGTAGCATCCCCATTTCCATACAGCTCCATCCATGCCACGGGGCCTGGCAACTTCCTCTTTGCTTCCCTGCACTCCACAATGCTGAATTGCTCCAAGTCTCCCATAAACATCTTCCAGGAGAGGGCTTGGGGCTGGGCTGCACTCCCCTTCGCTTCCCACCATCTTTGTTGAGGTATGTGTCACCCTTCCCAAGTGCCACCTGAATGTGGGAACAGGAATGATGGGGCCATGTCCCTGCCCTGTCCCCATTGTCACTAGTGTCCAACACTGGAGGGACAATGGGGTGATCAGAGCTGCCCTCACCCCACAATGTCCCCTACCCACTGCTCATCCCCAGCTGTCCCCTGGTGCCTCCTCCCACTCTGTAGTTTCTCTTCCCCATTCTTGGGGGTGCCTGCGTTGGGAGCAAAGGCAGAACTGAAACCACAGCTGAGGGGAAGTTTGAGGGGGCATGCCCCCAATATCCTCCAAACACAAGCAGGGCTGAGGTGTCCCTTCTGCAATGTGGCAGGGTACCATGTGACCCTTCCAAGCAAAACTGGGATCAGGTGGCCCAATCCATGTCTCCATCTTGGGTGTGCCCAGCTGTGGTCATGACACAGAGACATATGACATATGGGGTTGCTGTGGGCTGAGCTCCAAGCACCCTATGACACTGAGTCAGTCATGGAGAGACAAGAACACTGAACATCTTGCCTCCAGTGGAGCTGTGTCATGGAGAAGTAGGGATGTTGTGGTGGCCTGGAGGGCCCAGAAATAGCACCAACTTCCCCAGCAACTCACCTTGGCATCACCCAGGGGATGTCTGGACATGCCACCACAATGTCCATATCCCTCCTGGCAAGACCACCAGTGCTGTGGTCGGGGGAGAGTGTTTGGCTGGTGGAGTGGCAAAGTGCAGCCATGGGGTGGCTGGTGAGGGAAGGGGCAGGGTGGGTTTTAGTCACACAGTCCTATGAGGTGACCATTTGTCCTCACAGTCCCCTCTAAGGTGACTGTTGGTCACTTCTTGCTAAGCAGTTGATAGGCCATTAGCAGGCCTCCGGTTTGTGTAGGTGCCTGTGGTATCACTGGTGGCTGAGTAGCTGATAGGGTAGGTCCAGGCACCTGGATTGTGTGGGGGCATGGGATCTCATTGATACATCTCCTGACACTTTCTACTCTCTTCTCCCCTCATTACTGTCACAACTTACAGTGATTTCCTTTGATGCAATGGCAGCAGCATGGGAGGTTGTGCTCAGTTCTCTGCCATTTCTTTCAGCCACTCCTTATTCCTTAAGCTTTTCTTCTACTGTTTCTTCCTTTTTGCTTGTTTTCTTTGCTTCAGAATGGGTCCTGTGTGGTCCACAGTCCCCCTGAGGAAGTACCTTTTGTGCCATGGTCTTATTCATAGGCCACAGTCCCTCTGGGATGTACCTGCTCTTCCATGGAACACCTCCTACTGTTCTGACCTTGCTGTTACTTTTTTTGAGTGTTTACTTCTCTGTCCTAAATACATTGTCACAGAATTGCCATGAACTCCTCTTGTTCAATGGAGGTGACCTGACTGGAACCAGCACAAGACACTTCATTATCTCCCTCCTCAGAAGTCACCCTAGTGACTCCTCCTAGTCACTCCTCTTCCCTCTTCTCCCCACTGTCCCCAGCAGCAACCCCCCCCCCCCCCAAAACCTTGCCAATTATGCCCGATACAATTCTTTACTGTAGTACAGCTACAATGGCTTGAACTGGATGACGATTGGGTGAGATTTTATTTGGTTTGGTGCATATTCATCGTAATAGGATAAAAGTTACATTTATGAGGAACTGCAGTGCATTTCCATATTTCTAATTTATCTCAGAGATGGCTTGCTGATTACAGCTGTCATGAAGAAACTGATAAGAAACCTGGCCATAACCACACCTCCATTTGGGAACTGCTTTTAACTGACAATCTTGTCCTTGGCTCCCCTCTGTGCTACATAACACCTATGTTGCCACTCTGTCTGTGGCAAGTCTTGTACCTCCTCATTCCTGACATCAGTCCTGTCCCATTGGCTTGACTGGATCTGAATTGTCACCTCAGATTTGCTGAGTGATCACTGGACTTCTGGCTGATGTTGATTACAATCTCCAGACCTGATTCTTACCCTGAGTTTACTGATTTTACTTCCTAGATCCTTGCTGGTGATGTAGCAACCTTCCTCCCTTATTGTGACTCTCAGTTCCTACCTCACATTCCCTTGTAGAACAGCCTGTCCTTGACACCATAGCTATGAATGGAATAGTGTTCGTTTACCCTAGGTCAAGAAGCTTTTGTTCATGAAGAGTAAATCTTGGTCACTTGGTCTTTGCTGGAGCTTCACATCAGATGGAGACCTGATTCTTTCTCTTCAGTGATACTGTTATTTTTCCCTTTTCTGTGAAATGAGACATTTTTCCCAGTAGTTTAAGTGATCCAAACTATAAACTGATTTTATATCTCATTAAGTAAACTGTCCAACTAGTCAAATTGACTTTGATCCACTGATACATTTAGGTTGAGAAGTCTTGCACTTCTCCCAAGAATGGGATGAATCATATCTGAGAACTGCCTGCCTCTCTCCACTAAGTGTTGATGGAGCCTCGGTGATCAGACACATACAAAATGTGAATGTGCCTATTGGTACAGAAGATGAACCTCTTGATTTCTACCTCTCCCTGGTTTTGCTTTTTAAAGACATCTGTCTTCTGTTCATACAGACAGACCTAAAACCAAAATGAGGTGCCTCAGGGTGTGGGAGGGAGGTGTAATTTCTGTGGGCATTTTCACACAATGTTACCACTTGCCTTGTTTCTCTTACTAGCACATAATAAACTTTGAATGAGTTTGTTAATACACAATACAATTTCTTCCCCCATATCCCTTGGTTAAAATTTGCTGAACACAGAAAAATATTCTAAGTTATATATTTCTCAGTTACTAAAGACATCTCAAAGGAGAAATTAGCACCAAGGAACGATGTAGAATTCTGGCCTCCCTTGTACTCTCATTTTCTCAAATACATCCATCATCTCCCACATTACATTATGCTATGGGTGTAAAATAATTTAAGGTTTGTCTTAGTTATTCAGATAGCTGAGTTTAAATCTTGGTATAAACTGTAGCAACAGGTTGCTCCCCTGTTATTTCAGCTGTAGATGAGTGCACTTATTAATTCTGATTTTAGTCAAAGAAACCCTGGTAGGTGTGAGTTGTCTATCCAAACAACATTGTCTTTATCATGGGTGATTATAGCTGAGCTACTTTCGTGGAAGAAACATTCACTTCAAGAACACTAGTTCTCTCATACTAGCATAGGTTTCAAAACTTGGAAAACAGATTCATCCCCTCAAGTCACTATTTCTAAATATTAACTGTAAAGGTACAAACCATTTTCTAATTGAAAACATCTGGTGACATTTTACATACCCAAGGATAATGAGCATGGCCAGTTTTCACATGTTCATTCTGCCAGTCCCACACACTTACATGGGACTCTAAAGGATATCTTAAATGGTGCAAGGCACCAGCACATAGGCAGATGTGTCAAACCCCATCTACAAGCTTATGAAGAAATTACTGAAGGGTTTATCTCATATGTCTCATCTGTTAGCAATGGAGCTCTGACCCTAGACTAGAGGTGTCTTATGTAATTTTAAGTCACTCAGCATCTTTTTTCCTGCTTCAAAGAAGTTAAAATTTCCTATATCATTCCTCTAAGCCCAAGGCAGACATATCTGATAGTCAAGGGCGTTTCTGAGCACACCAGACAGATCTGTTCAAACAATCAACACCTATGTGAATGCCTAAAATGAGAGGGGATGAATCCTAACCATGGAGTTTAAACATGCTATAAACCTAAGGGGAGAAATCTCAGAATGAATCCATTCTGTGTTGCAGGGTGA